TTAATTATTTTCCAAAAAAACTATTCCTTTTAAAATATTGTTATTTAGTTTCTAGCTTGTCTTATCTTATAATTCAAATTGAATGTGAAATTTTTTTATGTTTGTTGTATTGACTTGTTGACTTAGACGACTATCAACTTTTTCTATAGTGTCGTGAATGTAATTATTTTTATTTCTAAAAAAAGTTCTCTTTAGGGCTTAACAATAATATTTAATTTTGAAGACTACATAATTTATAAAAGTATGTAAGGATTTTTCAAAGGATCTCAGCTGTATTGGTTAAAGTTATATTTTATTTCTTCAATTTAGAGTATAAATTAGTATATCACTTTTATGAAATATAATTGAACTTTTTAATTTATTGCATCGGAAGTTAGTACATTTTCAATGCATGTTTTATTTTTGTTTCATTTTTTAAGGAACTAATTTGATAACATATTTTTTTAATACAATTATATAATACGATTTGACTTGACCTCCTTCAATAATCTCTCTATTTATCTCAAAGTAACAAAAATTATTTTTCTTTTGAATTTTATATTACAATTTCTACACTTATTAATAAAAATACAGAAGAAAAGATGGATTGCTATCACATTAATTCATAAAATTAATTAACACGGCTTGACTTCCTCGGGTGATATATCATATATCCAAATTGCTCTACAATTTACAATTGCACTCTTGTTTTTGTTAGGAGACTTTGAATAAGCTTTAGCAAATACTTCACTAATCATTGCATGTAATTTTTTGTTCAATAATATTTTTACAATAATATTATTTAGTATGATTATCTTACCGGGTGCTCTTAATTTATACGTCAAGGACATTAAAAGACAAAGAATTTAGTATATCAATATATGTATCCTTATCAGAGAACATATTAAAACAATCCTATTTAGTAATTATGAGGGTATATTAAACGTAGTTTCATGATATATGAAAAGCATTTACAAGTATAATAACACAGAGAATTATTATTAATAATGACACTGGATTCAAGTTTAATGTGAAATTAAGTAAATAAATATCTAGTGAAATATATGTTCATCGGCAGAATTTGAATAAGCTCATAAATTGCCATTTTTGTCTTTTTCCCTTTCCTTTTTTTGAACTCTCAGTTCCTAGGCTTAGTGACTCCAGGATCTGAAAACTTGCCCGACATTTCAACTTGAATTTCAATTATCGAATTCTCCATCAATTGAAAAGGAAAGAAAATAATTGAATTTCGATATTAAAAAAATAGAGTTAATAAAAGGGATTAAGGGGGTTGAGAAATTAGGATTTGTTTTGTGGTGTCTACATTCATTTTGTGTATTTCTTATAGGACAACTCTTTTTAATACAATCATATAACATGATTTAACATCTCTCAGTGATTTATCCATTTTAAAGTAATCAAAATTTATATTCTTTTAGAAGTCATATTACAATTTTCACACTTATTGATAAGAAATACAAGAAAGAAAAGATGAGGAATTGTTGATTCATTAATTTCATATTATCAATTAACACGACTTGATCTCTTTTAGTGATCTGTCCAGGTTGTAATACAAATTACAATTACACATTTGTTTTTATCAAGAGACTTTAAATAAGCTTTAGCGAATATTTCATTAATATTTGCATATGATTGTTTGTTCAATAGTGTTCTTGAAATAATTTTATTAATAAGAGGTTTTAATAAAACATAGTTTAAGAATGAGATTAATAGTAATAATAATAATGTCAAAGCCAATAGGAGGTTTGAGGAAGAAGTCGTTAATGGTTTAATGGATGATTTGTTTGCTACTAATAGGAATAGAGAGACTTTGGGCCTTTACTGTGTAAGTTGAAAATGGCTGGTATGTTTTGGCCTTGGTTTTGCATTGTAAATTGTTCTTTCTTTTTGTTCCAACCCTGTATTTAGGTTAAGCCTGTTGTAAAGGATTGTACATCCTTAACCATTAGGCTTTTACTTTGTTTGCTTCCTTGGGCCTGACCAAGGTAAGAGAGCCGTTGGGGTTGCTCATTTCCTCTGTATTTTTTATACAATAACCGGGTTTACAAAAAAAAAAAAAAAAATTATTATTTTCTCAAGAAGATGCATTTTTTGGATTTTCTTTTTTCTTTTTTTAAAAAAAAGTTGTCATCATATTACTAATACTTAAACAGCATACCATTATAATTTATATATCGAATGTAATATTTCCTTAACTTCCAATAATTTAATATATTGCTAATTAGAATATTACATCAATTTAAGAAAAAAAAGGTGGCGATAACTTTCGAAAATATTACAAGTGTTGTTTTGTTAAGAAGATTAACACATGAAGTATTTTCATATAAATTATTGTAAATGTTTGATAGTGTGAATTATTTATTAAGTGTATGTGTTAAAACTCAGTGTTTAATATTTGAGAAAATTAGTTATGAACTAATTAGATAGCTACGACAGAAAAGATGAACAGGTGGAAATCAAATTCTTAAAATCAATTATAAGGCTTGACCTCCTATTGAGATCTATCTAACTCTTGAAATCAATTTACAATTGCACAATTGTTTATTTCTTCGTTATTTATATATTTTTTTTTCCATCTATTTCTTCTTCCCTTTTCTTAGCTCTTAATCCTCTTTAGTTATTGAATTCTCTATCACTTAAAAATGAATGAAAAGAATTAAATAAATTGGTCGTATTAAGGGGATTGAGAAATTATAGTCTGTTTTAAAAAGATATGAAACTGATATGATAACATATCTTTTTAATATAACCGTATAACACACGACTTGACATTTTTTAGTGATTTATTAATCTCAAAGTAACAACAATTTATATTCTTTTGGAAGTTATATTACAATTTTCACACTTGTTTTGAATATCAAAGATTTTAGATAAGCAACAACCTAGAAATAGACATTTTATTAATTATTTTTAAAAAACTATTCCTTTTAAAATATTGTTATTTAGTTTACAACTTGTCTTATCTTATACTTCAAATTGAAGGTGGAAAATTTCTATGTTAGATTTATTGACTTGTTGACTTGGACGACTATCAACCTTTTCTACCATGCCATGAACGTAATTATTTTTATTACTATAAAAAAAAAAAAAAAAAATCACTTTAGGGCTTGACAATAATATTTAAGTTCCAACACTACATAATTTATAAAAGTATGTAGGGATTTCATAGGATCTCAGCTATATTGGTTAAAATTATATTTTATTTTTTCAATTTATAGTCTAAATTAGTATATTACTTTCATGAAATATAATTTAACTTTCTAATTTATTACATCGGAAGTTAGTATATTTTCAATGCATGTTTTATCTTTGTTTCATTTTTAGATAACTAATTTGATGACACAACTTTTTGACCTTCTTTAGTGATCTCCCTATCTCAAAGTAACAAAACTTTATTTTCTTTTGAAATTTATATTATAATTTCTACACTTGTCGATCAAAATACGGAAGAAAAGATGGATTGTTAGCACATCAATTTCATAAAATTAATTAACACGGCTTGACTTCCTCTAGTGATATATCCAAATTACTCTATAATTTGCAATCGCACACTTGTTTTTGTTAGGAGACTTTGAATAAGCTTCAGCGAATACTCCACTAATCTTTGTATGTAATTTTTTTTCAATAATATTATTTCGTAGGATTATTTTAACCCATGCCCTTAGTGCTTACGTCAAGGGCATTAAAAGACAAAAAATTTAGTATATCAATGCATTGATTTTTTTTAGTACATAGTATGTATTGAAATAAGACTTCTTTAAACTTTGCATTTCTTCGTTTCTTTCTTCTGCAAAATAAAAAAGACTGAAATAAGAGAAATAGAAATGGGTCAGTGTTCTTACCAAGGAACAAACCACAAAAAAATTAATTTTATCTATCTAATTCAATAAATCGCTATAATACTTTTTGTTATAATAACAATTTATATTTCTATTTTAATATACAGATTAAATAATATCAATATATATAACCATCAACAATCACTGTAGTGGTAATTAATTTAAATAAATATCTTTAATAAACTAATTTAAATCTCTATTCTATTTTAAGGATTAATTACATAATCACCTTTCGGGAAAAGACGGTGAAACCAAGGTTTGTGGCCTCTACCACGCTTCATAGTGTGGGGCAGCCAAAGGTGTGGTGTGGTGTTAATTTTACGAACCTAAGGGGTGTTCATGTAATTAATCCTTTTTGATAGGCTCATTGCGTTGGCGGTTGGTCACTTGGTCTCTTACCAATTATTCTTTTTTATTCCTCTAATTGCAGAGCTCCGTGTAGTAATATCCAGAAAAGCGCAGGAAATGGGATGGAGAATGGAGATACAGTTCATTCGCGCCAAATATGGTTACAAATCACATTGTCAAACCCTTAAATCTCCATTCATTCAATTTCTTTATGTGCCTGATTCGTGAGAAAGGGCCAGACTGAATACTTGGTATGTAAAACCCATTTTTCCTTCAATTAATTCATTAATAAAGTTGTTTTGTTCATTGATTTTTGTTGCCGTTAATCTTGATTCGAAACTCTGATATTCTTAATTTTGAATCCCTAATTTCACTTAATCCAACCCCATTTTTGAAACCCACTCAGTTAAATCATTTCTAGTGAAAACCCAGTTTCAAAATTTTTGGTCGCATATTTGAAAAGGTTGAGCCCCATCTCAATTTGGTGACTACAGAGACAAAGTTAACAGCAAATAGTGGGCAATGTAGAAGTGTATATTGGGAATTTAACTAAATATTAATGATTTGGAAACGTTTGGGTGTAACTAAATATGAACCCTTGCTGAGGAATTTCTTGTGTGGAATTAATGAATTTGTGTCACAATCAAACCAGATGTGAATGGCTTATTACTTGTTTGTTGGGGTTGCAATTATTAGTCTAGTCAAAAAAGAAAAAGGAAAAAAGCAAGACATCTTCTAGGCAAGGAGATAAGTTGAAATGCTTAGAGATTGACGTAAAGACTCATTTATATGTTGTCTNGAAAAATCTCAAAACAGTTTGAAGCTTCTTACTTCGTTCGGAATATTAGAGAAAGAATTAGAGAAAAGCGAGGGATTACATGACTTGTGCCAAAGACTTCGTTTTACAGTTTTAGGATATAAACATCCCAATATTGGATTCACCTTGGAAAGGAAAAGGCTTGGTCGTGTTCTTATTGTGTTTGATGATGTGACAAATTTAGAACCAATGGAAGATTTTGACTACTTGGACTCTAAAGTCGAATAATCATAACGACAAGGGATGAACAAGTTCTAAAAGAATGTGGAGCGAATCCCATACACTTAGTTAAGATGGAAGAATTATCTAGTAATGAAGCTTTTCAAGTTTTTAACCGAAATGCTAGCCATGAGCATTCCCCATTCAGTATTAGTCCCAACACTGGTTACAAGCATGACGTCGTTGCCATCTGCAACCTTGTAGCCAGACATCAGAAATGGGTCCTTCGAGTCCTTGTGAAAAATTTTGCTCTCTCTAGTCATGCTGGATTCATCAATGGAAAGTGAATGACCAGAAATAACAACTCCATCAGTAGGGACCTGATCACCAATGTTGAGGGGCACAACATCACCAACAACGATATCATATATTGAGACATCAATTCTTCTACTGCCTCTAATGACCTCCAAATGTATGTTTCTCTTCTCCTCATTAAGGTTTTGGAATTGAAAAGATTGTCAATAATCACTTATAGTTGTCACAACAATAACTAGAATAACCGCAAAGGCAATGCTCTCTCCATCATACCATCCTTCCTTATACCCTCTTTCTTTATGCCGAATGCCATAAAGAAGCCACCGCAGCTACCATCAATATGATCAAAGTAAGGTCTTGCCATGCTTCCTAGAGGAACATCCAAAAACTTCTTCCTTTTTTGGGGGATAGGTGTTTGATCCAAATACATTCTTTCGTTTAAAGCAAGTCAGCATCTTCACCATTAATTCCCTTCTCTAAATTTGTTTTTAACAAATCAAATAGCCCTTTAACCCCCCCGCATTGCTGTACAGAAATTGACGAGAGGCATTTAACACAAGGGCCACTTGTCTCCAACTCTTGAGATGGTTCAGATTGTCAAAGATATTTTGGAGAGATTGAATGAGGACTCTTCTTTAATTGAAAACAAGAACCTAGTTGGAGTAGATTCTAGAATCGAGTATATTGAATATTTATTATGTGTTGGATTTACTGGTGTTCACAAGATAGAAATTTGGGGTATTGGTGGAATAGATAAGACCACTCTTGCTGATGCTTTACTCAATAAAATCTCTAGACATTTTGAAAGCTCTTACTTTGTTAAAAATATTATAGGAGAATCAGAGAAAAGCAAGGGACTAACTGACTTGCACCAAGAACTTATTTGTGCAATTTTAGAGGATGAACATGCTAATATAGGATCCACCTTCACCAAAAGAAGGCTTACCTGCAAGAAAGTTCTCATGGTTTTTGATGATGTGACATATTTGAAGCAAATAGAATCTTTGATTGGACATTTTGAGTATTTGGGTTCAAGAAGTTGATTCATGATAATGACAAGGGATAAATAAGTATTAAAAAATTTGTGTAAGGTAAGTGGACTCAAAAATTGAATTAAATTGTTTATTTAGTGAAATCATTTAATTGTCAAATATTCTATTCAACTCTTTCCAGTGTTGGATACTTCTCATACTCTATTAAACCTTGTTATCTGTATATATGGATTAACCCATGTTTGGTAGTTATAATGAGGGATAAGACTGTGTCATCTTTTTCTTTTGTCTATAAATTTTCCCCATACCAAAATAATAATAATAAATAAATAAATATAATCTTGCATTATTTATTCATATGTAGAAATAATGCAGGGCTATGATATTATTGTTTGTATTGTTATAATTGATGTAAATATTCATTGTATTTACAGTTTCCGTATTTGTTTACTGAAAGGAGCTGACATGTTCGGATCCTGAAAGGAGCTGACATGTTCGGATCCTGAAAGGAGCTGACATGTTCGGATCCTGAAAGGAGCGAGCTACACTTAAGTGAAACTTGCAGGTTTGTCATGTTTCTCTTTACTATATATTTGGGTGAATCCATGCCATGCCCTGTCCTGTGCTCTGCCATTTGAAGTGCTATTATTGCTTCATGTTAAGCATGCTTATGGTGAAGGCATAGCCTTCTTTTTTCTTTCAAATAAAAAACTCATTGGTGCAAAGCATGAGGGAATGCTAGACATTTGATAATTTCTCCTCTGACAAATTGATCATCCCATGCATATTGTTTGCACATTTGATCACACAAATTGCATTGTATCATAAATAGCTGATCTTTTTATGAATTATTCATTCAATTCCTGAATTTTGGAATTGCCTCTTTCTGATGCTGGTCAGTTTGCAGCCCTCCCCGATGACTGAAAAGAAAGTCAAAAACTGCAAAAACACGCCCAACCTTTCATCTTAGAAGGAGATGTTCATTACTCTGTAGAAGGAGCTAACCAAGTAATGAAAGAAGTTCATGCTGGCCAACAATGGAAGACAATGCGACTTGCTTTGTTCAGAATTGCCAAATTTACAGTGATCATTTCAGTCTGGCTTGATCTCCAGTGCGCATTCTAATGATAAGCTTTTAGCTTAGCATGTGGACATATTCTGATGGCTGGCATTCTGAAATCACTGATTTTCTTCCCTGGATTACGGATTATATCACCGAACTATTTAATTAGATATGTTAGATGAAGGCTACCGCTATGTAATCTTTTACTGCCGGATGCTTTCTGTGTGGTACTTCAACATAGTTACTATGAAATGTTGCAAGCGTCATGTGTGGTTTTTTGGGATATGAAATGATGTTGATTGTTGTTTCTACTCTTGTAAGCTGCTATCAACTGGGTATTGTTTTCTATGTGAAACACCGGTTTGTTTATTCTGGGCTTTTCCTTATATTTTTGCTTTCTGAGGCTGCTTTTGTATCTTGTATTAGCTTAATTGGTTTGCTTTCTTTTTTTCTGTATGGCCATTGATTAACACAAACAATTGATCCTGCTCAAAATGAGCTGGAATTTGTGGAAACTTTGCTTGATATTATCGAAAAATTTTGGAAATTTCCAGAACTGAATTTTGTTAACTTCTGCAATGCATACAGACTGATTCTTCGATTGTTGTTATTCTAAAAATGAGTCCACGTGTGACTCTTACAGATTAGCAAACACAATTGATTCAAAAGAAACACAAACTGACAGCATTTCTACCATTGATGTGTTCTCCAGCTTGATGAAATTTAGCTGAAATTAAAAATGAAAACCTAGCAACTTTGACTTGAAACGGCAGCGTTCTATATTTCTACTAAACTTTTAACAGATTTCATAACTTCGTTTTTATGTCAACAGAATTTTAATAAACTCTGTTAACCACTGTTAATCTACATGTTGGATTCAAAAGGCTTTTCAACAGTTGCGTTTCTACACTTCTTCTTCTCCAGCTTTGTATTTACAAAACGCAGCACTTCATTAACTAACACAACTAATCACCAAAACGCAGCACTTCATTAATCAACTGATTCTTTTGTGAAATGTCTGCTGATTGCTCTTGAGTACTTTTGTATCGTTGATATTATTTGTGTGTTCTTTTTGTGTTTGAAGCACTAGTTTATTGTTGAACTTTCCCTGAACTTTACCCTTATGAGGCTTTTGTATAATTAGATTTGTTCTTCTGTTTATCGTTAATTCTATACCCGATCAGTTAAACTGCTAATTGCTGATACCCCGGGTTTTAGAGTTATTTCTGACACCCTGAAGTTTAGGTACATAAGGGAAGTCTTGGAAGCTTTACAGCTTTAATCCCAGTATCACTGTTGGATCTCAGAATGGTAACTTTCAGAGTTACTTGACTCTGGGATTTCATTTAATAACAAAAATCCCGATGAGATTTTATAAGTAATACAAATCCTTTTTTCAGTTCCTTTGCATATTATTAGTGGTTAAAGAAGTAGAAATTATATATTGTATTTAACCCAGCTAGGTGACTTTGTGAGAGAAGGTACAATTCATCCTGCTGAAAATGAGCTGAAATTTGTGAAACTATAAGCTCTTTGAAGAGTTTAATATCTAGAGGATTTGGAAGAGTTACATGATTTAAAAGATTATGACTCACAACTTCGAAATTGCATAGTCCAAAGCATCAACAAGAAATCTGCATTTCCACAACACAACAGTGAGATTAAATATTATGAAGAAACAAATTTACAATAATGGATTCAACGACAACCGGTAAAATCTATTTGATGAAAGGAAGCTACATTGGTGGCTTGATTCTGAAAACATTTCCATGTAGTCCACCTTTCTCAGCCAGAACACAAAGCTATGCAATTGCAACGAGAGTTTCAGAATGAAAAATGAGAATGAAGAGCTCTTCTCTGAAGAGGACAGTAAGTATTTTGTACCTCTTAGTTTCTCAAATGAGACTACAGTTTCGGCCTTGGCATGTGTGTTCTCGTTCCTGTCAGTTGCTAATTCTACCCCCACCATTAAGCCCCTCCCTCTCACATCTCCAACGACTGAAACAAGATTTGATCAATGTGAGAAGAACTGCATAATAAAAATTGCCACTCTAAAGCATAAGACAAAGTTGTGCAATAAAGAAACAAGAAGATTGAGGGTGTTCACAAGAAGTAAACTTTGTTTATCTTCATCATCTTTATTGTTTTGTGTTAGTCATATCAGAAATCATGTCGATAAAATCATGCGATATGTCAGTCCAACTGCCATTCTCTCTATCATTTCCATGTGCCATTATAAGCAGCACCATTTATTTGTTCCTCAAATCTGTCCTCGCAGCCGGCTCAACTCATTTAATTGCCGACCAAGGGCTGTTTAGAAACATGTGTAGACATGAAAGTCCTAAAATGATTCTATTGGATTGAATATATACATGTGTGTGTGATAGGATACTGTCTTATGTTTGGGACCATACTGGATTGAACAAAATAATTATATTCAAATTTCGTAATAATATTATAACTAATTTAAATAAAATTTATAATATTAAAGTTCAAAATATATTGGAAAAAATTACATTTATAAAATAAATAGTTTTTAAACAGTCTTGTATGCAGTTGTGGGTTTCGATATGCATCCAGTATACTGCAGTCCTTGTAGTGCCATGTATGAAGGATGGGAACTTGGGCAGGATGGATTTCTTGCAGTTGATATATATATATATGCTGCATTGTAAGCATAGACAGTGGAAGAGTTGCAGTCTCAGTTGTGGCTTTGGTGTGGGAAGTGAGGCTGCCCTTTGTGCATATCTTTTTGTTGTTTTTTGCTGCCGTTGGGAGAGATGGACAGAGTTTTATGGTGTTACTCTCTTGCTTGGCTTTTTGTATAGGATCACAAGATTGTAGAGATTAGGTTTCTTGTGGTTGTGCACTCTTGCTTAGACATTCATTTTTTATATTTCTTCTATGGTAGCTCTTTTTAATACAACCAAATAATACGGTTTGACCTCTTTCAAAGATTTATCTATTTTAAAGTAATCAAAATTTCTATTCTTTTGGAAGTCATATTACAATTTCCACACTTATTAATATGATATATACAATAGAAAATAATGGTGAATTGTTGGCTCATCAATTCATAAAATCAATTAACATGACTTGACCTCCTTTAGTGATCTGTCAGGTTGCAATACAATTTGTAATTATACACTTGTTTTTATTAGGAGACTTTGAATAAGCTTTAGTGAATATTTCATTGATCTTTGCATGTGATTATTTGTTCAATAATATACTTGCAATAATTTTATTTAATAATAATAATGTTTAAGAATGCATCATTTGTTTGCTACTAATAGGAATACGAAGACTTTGGGCTTCTATTGTGTAAGTTTAAAAGACTGGTCTGTTCTGGCATTGGCTTAGGCTTGGGCTTGTTTTTGCTTTGTAAATTGTTGGATCTTTTTGTTCGAGCCTTGTTTTTGTACATCCTTAGCTTTTAGGCTTTTACTTTGTTTGCTTCCTTGGGCCTGTCCAGTGTAAGAGACGCCCGGGGGGGTCGGTGGGGTGGTTCGTCCTTTCCTCTGTATTCTTTCGGGTTTTTTTTTTTTTTAAAATACAATTATTGGGTTTACGGAAAAAAAAAAGGTTTTTACTTTTTTCACAAGAAGATGCATTTTGGATTATTATTATTATTTTTTTAAAAGATGTCATCATATTACTAATACTTTAATAGCATACCATTACAATTTAATTATTGAATATAGTATTTCCTTAACTTCCAATAATTTAATATATTGTTGATTAGAATATCATAACAATTTGAGAAAAAAAAAAAAAAGTGTTATAAAGCAAATAACAGGGTTTGATTGCTCCTTTAGTGATTTATCTATCTATCTCAAAGTATTACAACCATATATCATGACTTGACTTGATCGTCTTTAATGATCTATCTATCTTAAAGTAACTAAAATTTCTTTTCTTTTGAAATTTATATTACGGTTTCTATACTTATTGATAAAAATACTGACGAAAAGATGGATTGTTAGCACATCAATTTCATAAAATGAATGAACATGGTTTGACTTTTTCTAGTGATACATCTAAATTGTTCTACAATTTGTAATCGCAAATTTGTTTTTGTTAGGAGACTTTGAATAAGCTTCAGCGAATACTCTACTAATGTTTGTATGTAATTTTTTGTTTAATAATATTTTTGTAATAATATTATTTAGTAGGATTATCTTAACGCGTGCTTTTAACACATACACCAAAATCATTAAAAGATAAAAAAAATTAGTATATCAATGCATGTATCCTTATTAGGAAAAATTAAGAGGTTCTATTAAACGCAGTTTCATGATATAAGAAAAGCATTTAAAAGTATTATACCAGGGAGAATTATTGTTAATAATGAAGCTGGATTCAAGTTTAATGTGAAATTAAGTAAATAAATATCTAGTGAAATATATGTTCACCAGCAAAATTTGAATAAGCTCATAAATTGCCCTTTTTGTCTTTTTGCCTTCCCTTTTCTTAACTCTCAGTTCTTAGGCTTAGTGACTCCAGGATCCGAAAACTTGCCCGACATTTCAACTTGAATTTCAATTATCAAATTCTCCATCAATTGAAAATGAAAGAAAATAATTGAATTTTGGGATTAAAAAAGAATAGAATTAATAAAAGGGATTAAGGAGGTTGAGAAATTAGGATATGTTTGTGGTGTCTATATTCATTTTGCGTGTTTCTTCAAAGACAACTCTTTTTAATACAACTATATAACACGATTTGACTTTTTTCAGTGATTTATCTATTTTAAAATAACCAAAATTTATATTATTTTGAAAGTTATATTACAATTTCTATACTTATCAACAAGATATATATGAAAGAAAAGATGGAGAATTGTTGACTTATCAATTTCATAAAATCAATTAATACAACTTGACCTCATTTAATGATCTATCTAAATTGTAATACAATTTGTAATTATACACTTGTTCTTATTAGGAGACTTTAAATAAGTTTTAGCGAATATTTCATTGATCTTTGCATGTGATGGTTTGTCAATTATGCTCCTGAAATAATTTTATTTAATAAGAAGTTTAAGAATGATATTGTTAATGATAATGATATCAAAGTCAATAGGAGGTCTGGGGAAGAAGTCATTAATGGTTTAATGGATCATCTATTTGCTACTAATAGGAATAGAGAGACTTTGGGCTTTGCTGTGTAAGTTGAAAAAGGCTGGTCTGTTCTGGCCTTGGTTTCGCTTTGTAAATTGTTCTTTCTTTTTGTTCCAGCCTTATTTTTTTTTTTTAAGCCTGTTGTAAAGGTTGTACATCCTTAGGTTTTAGGCTTTTACTTTATTTGCTTCCTTGGGCCTGTCCAAGGTAAGAGAGCCGTAGGGGGTTTTCTTCTTTTCCTATGTATTT